TCTTTTTCTATATTTAAAGCAATAAATTGTTTGGATAATCTACTACTATAATCTGGGACGATTGATCACTGATGTTTCAATTGGGTCAATATATATACACGGGCATATGATTTTTTAAAAATAATCTTTAAATAAAATTGTATGGTGCCAATTGCATGTATTCAATACTATAATGTATAATATATTTGATTGTATTAAATACTATCAGTAATTGCTTCTCATTGTGTATCCAATACAATCAAGTTGGTATACATGATGATACATACTGCAAAAGACAATGGTACTAATTGACAAAAATTATTTCTTTAAATTTTAATATTTTTATGTTATTACTATAGACACAATAATTTCGTTTGAGTTAATCTTACTTTTGGTTATCAAGTATAGTGATAATTTAAGTGAAGTCATCAATTTTGATATTATTGGTATGAGCCGGTTAATTATAAGCAATTATAATTGGTTTACTTGTGGTCCTTTGTTGACTAGATCGAGTCACAAAGCGGACATTACTTAAAACGCACATTAATTTGTTTAGCAGTTGCAAACTTTTCCGTAATTCAATGTATATTGATAGTTCAACTGAAGCCATCAACTTTTAATTTTGACATACTTGCATCTTTGATCTACTTCTAAAGTTATTGTGCATTAATAGCTGTGAGTTGCTTTCGTCACTCAAAAGTTATCGTGCATTTATCTTAAAACGATTTTACTTTAATTTATGAACATTTAATTAAATTTAGTCATTTTGCACATAAAACATTTCAAACTAGGTGTAGAACAAGTTTGAGAGTAGAACTCTCTAGATGTGTCAAACTTAGAAATAGTTAATCAAATCTAAAATTATAACGGTCTTAAAAGGATTAAAAGTGAAAATAAAAATGTGAAAATATAAATAACATGTTTAATCTCTCAATTAACATAACAGAGTAGCGAAAACCTCCTTATCTCTGTAAATCTAATTTCTTAATTATTGGTATTATACATGGTTACAATCAAAAGGTTAATTGAGTGGAATAACTTTAATTATAATAATTTATTTCAAAACAATATTCTTAATCACACAAGGAATAATAAAAATTTTCTTAGCATGACATGAAAGAACCTTTGATTTGATTACTATGGAATTGTCTGCTTGACCGGTAATATGAATATGATCTTTCAATTCATATTTCTTTTTATTACAAAAATTGTTAAAAGTACCGAGTAATTAAAGGTTTGAATGTTTGATGTCCAAAGATGGCTATTTAATTTATTTATTTACTCATTTATAATTTTAATTATTTTAATTCAATAATTGCATTTTGACTTACAAAATGACAAAAAGAAAAATACAAAACACTATTTAATAATTGACTAATCCCGTCTATTCCGGAGATTATGACCTTCATTAAATGAACAAAATTTATGTTTATCTTATTTGATTTGATTATATATATAAAATCATTATTTGAAATTCTTGTTTTGACTTACAATTTCCCCCCTATAGATTAATTAGAAGAATAATAAAGATACTTTGGCGGCTAGGGTATAAAAATAATAACTAAAAATTAGTGTGAAATCGTCTCACGGATCCTTATCCGTGAGATAGGTCGGATCAATATACAAATATAATATTTGTATTAACAAATGTAATACTAATTAGGAATAAAATGTTTGTTACCTATATAAAAAAAGTGTACTAGTTTCGATAACAAGGAGCCCCCCCACTCTAAGAGGTAACTTCCACATTGTCGCTGGTGAGACTCAATCCTTGGTTATTCTTTCAACTTTTCACCTTTATGACCAGTTGAGCTGTCCATGCATGTATTTTATTCCTAATTAATATTCCATTTGTTAGTATATAAATATTACATTTGTATATTGACTCAACCAATTTCACGGATAAGGATCCATGAGACGGCCTCACACAAGTGTGATTTAAAAAAAAAAAAAAATCTTTGGATAGGGTTGCATGTATCTTTCATTTTATAACAAATAAAAATAAAATAAAAAACACAACAACTTCAAGTAATAATTTTCTTTGTTTGAAAATGTTAAACAGGGAAAGAACAAGGACATTTGTCTTAGTATTCATTTAGTGCCATCAAAGAGTTGTTGATTAGGAATTGAAAATTCTGTAAATAGATAGACTTTTGTTAAATAGATTAGCGGCGCATGTTGAACAGTTACGATTTAGCCTTCAAGTCCTAGGCTCTTCTTGGAATGACATTTACCTTATACCATGATAAAAACTTAAAAAGAAAAATCAATGAGTTTGCTCTTTATGTGTTTAGCAAAATTATATTATTCTCTTAGATATCTCTAGTAAAACAAAAGATAATGTTAAATTTCTTTACAATTTAGGCAACGGTAATGTATAATACTACTTAAAGCAGAGCGTGGGGTAGTGTGTGTCTAGACCATTCTCTTAGCGGTATTGCGGCTCTGCTTGAGAAAAATGCCAACAAAATTACTACGAGAAGAATTTATTAACCTTGGGGCTCCGGTCCCTCTGGCGCACCACCAAAAAAAAAAAAAAACTCTTATATTTGATTATTAGAAGTCGCTCTATAAATTTGAAACCATGCATTCTGCTCCAAAATTTTGAGACAAACTAACAATAGTTTAGTGGTTGACATACATATCTTGAATATGGTACATAATAAACTCAAAATAGTATCAAAAAGAAATTATTAACATTTCAAATCAATAGAAGTTAGTAGGCATATTATGCGCTCAAATGTACATACATGTGCTCTTTTAATTAGCCTAGTATATTATTATGATTGTTTTCCATGCTCATTGAAAATATGAACCACATTCATCGCAATTATGCCATTATGATATATACATGTGCTTAAAATAAAATAAAATGTTAGTCAAATTTCATGAGTTCATTCAAAGTGATTTTTTTTTTTTTTTTTTTTTTTTTGAGAAATCAAAGTGAAATATTAAAAAAAAAAAGTGAAATATTTATTCATCCAAATAAAATATTATTGTAGTTGGAATATTTTATTTTATTTTTTGAAAATCGTACTTGAATATTTAAAACATTAAAAAAATAACAGTTTCTTAAAAATAAATAGTGAATAATTAATTAATGTGTGTCAAGCATGTTGTGCTTAGATGGCACCTTTGTGCTTCTTATTGAGAAAAGATCACATGATCAAACCCTAGTGGTGGAGTATTAACTTTTTCTAATAACAGTCCATTGAATATTGATATTTATTTATCAATTTGATCATAATATAATGACTATTGATTTTATTCTAGATTTGGTCATTTGGTCGAATATTCGTTTAATAGGTGTTAAGTATAAGAATGTAAACATTAGGTACTAGAATCGTCTTTCAATTTCAATTTTAGTCATATGACTATAAGGACTTTGTTAATTTCAGCACCTGACTTTCAAAAGTGTCAATTTAGTACCTTGACTATGCAATTTTTATCAATTTTGATCACTCCGGTCAAATTGTCGGCCAAATTTCGCCGGAAAGTTTAAACAGTTAAAATAATGAGGGTATTTTAGTCATTTCACATCTCTTCCTTCTTCTCCGGTGAATTCATTTTTTACGACGAATCCGTCGCAGCAGCACACCTTCCAAAGCATACTTAAACTCATTCGTCAAAGCCGTCGCCAGCGATTTCTTAGGGTTCAAATGGCCAAAATTCCGGTTGAAAACATATGGCCGTTTGTGTAAGGGGAGCTTGAGATATCGGCGGACCTAGAAATCTCCGAACTGCACTTCTCTTTGTGCTCGTCCTGTGCACCTCCTGCCAAAATTCCGGTTGAAAATTTTTCTGGCAAAAAATAGACTTGCTCGAAGAAGAAAGCGAAATAATAAAACTGATGTTGGTGCCTATTTATTCTAAAACTTCTCTATATCAACTTTATGCTAAAATTGATGTTGAATAAATACTTCTCTTTTTGGATAATGTTGAATAAATACTTCTCTTTTTGGATAATGTTGAAAGCATCGCATCGCACCTCATCCTCGGATTCGCCGGAGAAAAAGGAAAGAGATGTGAAATGACTAAAATACCCTCATTATTTTAACTGTTAAAATTTTCCGGCGAAATTTGGCCAACAATTTGACCGGTGTGACCAAAATTGATAAAAATTGCATAGTCAAGGTACTAAATTGACACTTTTGAAAGTCAGGTGCTAAAATAACAAAACCTCTATAATCAGATGACCAAAATTGAAATTTTCTCTTTGCATATTTAAGGTGTTGGAACAAAATATATGATTGACTCAAATTTGGGGCAAAAAATTATTAGTAGTATGGTCCAAATTGATTTATGTATCAACTTGTTCTTCACATTCTCACTAAAAATGAACCTAATGTATAAAGTTTATGAATTCAATTTGTCCATCTCAATAACAAGTTAATTTTTATATTCTTACTCTTAAATTTAACGCTTACTAAATGGATATTTAACTGGATAACTAATATTGAACAAATCAATAGTTAGGGGATCACTGTCATAAGGTTCATTTTATATATATTAAATGTGTTAGGAACATTTTGTAAGAACAAATTGCACTTTTGCTCCTGTGACTATTAGGGTACTGACAATTTGAGTACGTGACTTTCAAAACTCCCAATTTAAACCTTTAACTACGCAATTATTAGCAGATTTGGTCCTGCCGGCCAATTTTGGCCGGAAAAATATAATTCTTTTAAAATTATTTATTTATAAGGACAAAATGGTCATTTAACGTCATTTCTTATTCTTCATGGCGACCGGAGTTCCCGTTTGCGTTGGCCGCGTTCTTCCCAGGTACTCCCCAGATTTCTCTGCTTGCTTCTCTTTGTTTGTTCCCTCATTGTGGACATTACTACTTGGAAATGGTGACTGGAGTTTGGTCTTCGTTGGTGATGGTCGTGGATGACTCCCACCATCTGACCTTGGCCTGTGATTTTTCCGGCTATTTTTGTGTGGTTCCCGTCCGTATCGTGGGTGGCTACAAAGGTGATGTCTCTGGACTGGGTCCTTCTTCTGCTTGTTTGTGAGATTTACTTTGTGGGTTTGGTCTCTGATTTTCTGGGTTTCTCGTCGGCGGTTGTGGCTCCCATATTGGACTGCTCTTCATCGGAAATGGTGGCTTGGAGGTTGCCGCTCAGGAACCCCGACCAAACGGCCACGTCTTTGTAGGCTTGGTAGGACGCAGTGAGGGGAGCGGGGAGGGTGACTCTCTGGTTTCGGTACACGGCGTAGACGTGGAGGCGGTCGTAGTAGATGCCGCGGTGTTTGTAGGGGATGTGCGCGGTGAGGGCGACAGAGATGTTGGTGGTGAGGAGGTTGCCGGCGGTGAGGTTGAAGTTGTGGAGTGTGGCGTGTCGGAGGAAGAAGCGGGGTTGGGTGAGTGAGATCTGGGCAGACATGGCGACGCAAAGGGAGATGCAGAAGAGGGTAGAGAAGAAGAGGAGCAAAACGCCGCAGCAATTGAAACTCTTCTTCGGAAGATCATCCTTCATCTCGCCGGTGCATGCGGCGCCGGATCGGAGGAGGTTTTAGTTTTCCCCCAAATAAATACGCTCGCAATGACGTTTTTACCCTCATCAGAAATTAATTCGAAACATTAAATGTTTTTCCGGCCAAAATTGGCCGGCAATTTGGCCGGGAGGACCAAATCTGCTAATAATTGCATAGTTAAAGGTTTAAATTGGGAGTTTTGGAAGTCACGTACTCAAATTGTCAATACCCTAATAGTCACAGGACCAAAAGTGCAATTTGTTTTTGATGGTACGAAGCTTAGGAGTTTAGACCCCTCAATTCGTTTACTGTCTTAGACTTAGGTCGAGTCCATCTTCATTCGAAGTATTATTCAAATCGTTAACCAGAGTGATCACTTTAAGCACTCGTGGATTTCAAAGAATGTCATACGAGATGACAACACTCAGGCGAATCAAAGATAACGAATCGAGACCTGACCCAAGAGGTTATCTCTCAATGATTCGTAGTCTTAAACGAAGACTTGAAGACCTGAAGACTTAAAGACAAAGGCCGAGAGGTTGCAAAAGAATGAAGCATAGAAGGGTTTACCTCTTGTGCTATCAAGGCCAATGATAAAGGAAAATCATTCGAGGCATTTTTGGGACGATATGTAAAGTCAACCAATCGAGTTCGAGTGAATAAAAAGGCTCGAGACGATAGTCAAGTCAACGACTCAATAGGACAAGCCAGAGACATTCTTTGTGCGTGTATAGTCCGAGGGTTTTCAGTAGCCAGTAAAGTAGTAGACCGGTACTAAAATGTTTATGTTTGATGTTTCTAGTATCAGTACTTAAATGTTTCTTCTGGTAGATATCGATGGAAGATATTTAAAATTTGTAGTATGAGTAATGGTGATTTTTATTTATAATTTGAAGAATTTCAAAATTTGTTTAAAAATTTCTGTTAATTGATTAACTGACTGATTAGCTGAAAAAAATCGATTTGATTAAATCGTTAACAGAGCATTTGGTTGAAGGGAATTTAAATTCCCTTCCCACTTAATTTGGTTGAAAGGAATTGCAATTCCCTCATTCCCCTCCCCCCCCCCCCCCCCCCCCCCCCCCCCCCGCCGAGTGAATAAAAAGGCTCGAGACGATAGTCAAGCTAACGACTCGATAGGACAAGCCAAAGACATTCTTTGTGCGTGTATAGTCCGAGGGTTTCCAGTAGCCAGTAAAGTAGTAGACCGGTACTAAAATGTTTATGTTTGATGTTTCTAGTATCAGTACTTAAATGTTTCTTCTGGTAGATATCGATGGAAGATATTTAAAAAATTTGTAGTATGAGTAATGGTGATTTTTATTTATAATTTGAAGAATTTCAAAATTTGTTTAAAAACTTCTGTTAATTGATTAACTGACTGATTAGCTGAAAAAAATCGATTTGATTAAATCGTTAACAGAGCATTTGGTTGAAGGGAATTTAAATTCCCTCCCACTTAATTTGGTTGAAAGGAATTGCAATTCCATGGAATTACAATTCCCTCATTTTCATGGAATTAAAATTCAATGTCCCCCCCCCCCCCCCCCCCCCCCCCTGTGATTTTAGGAAGAAAAAAAGATAGTGATGAGTCAAAATTACTCATTCCTTTTTAACCTAAAATTAATGCCTAACAACAACCATGGACATTTTTTACTTTATACTACTTATTCCCTTTCAATTCCCATGTATACCAAACATTGGAATTGAAATTTCTAGTAATTATATTTATGTAAACCAAACATTGGAATTTAAATTCTCACTTTATTCCCAGTAATTCATCTCCCATGGAATTGCAATTTCTTTCCCACGTAATTCCCTCTCTCCAACCAAACGCCCTGTAATAGAAACTTTCGTTCGATTAACGGGTTAAAGAATTTGAAAGTTTTGATTAATTCGATTCGTTTAATCGACCAATTAATCAAATGCACACCCCTAATCAAGACTCAAGAGGCTTCAAGTAAATCACACATGACCTTTGAAGTACAATTTAAGTAGTTAACCAATCAAAACTAATTTTATAAACTTTTTATCTTGTTGTGATCATTGATGTAGAAGTCATTAGATATCTCGTATAGTCGACTAGGGGTGTTCAATCGGTTAACCAAACCGATTTAATCAAAGTTTTTAAACCTTTAACCGTTAATCGAATCGAAGTTTGTGTTACCGAATTAATTGAACCAAAATATTTCTCGGTTAATCAGTCGGTTAACCGATTTACCAATCTTTTTTAAGTTAAAATTTAAAATCCTAAAAATAACACCTAAAATAATAAATTCAATTAAAATAATACATATCATAATAAATTTCATAACAAAATATACAAAAATAATACCATAACAACACTATAAAAATATTACAATTTAAATATTTAATACACTATATATATTAAAAAATTCGGTTAACGGACGCTTTTGAACCAAATTAATTGTTAACCGAACTTTAAAAAAAACCTTTAACCATTAACTGAACCGAAAAAATTCGGTTAAAAAACGGTTAACCAAACTTTGTTGATTCGATCAATTAACCAAAAATTATCCGTGGACACCCCTAATAGTCATCTCAAAACAAAAGTTTGAAATTCATGAGTAAACAGTAGAATATTACGTACGGATATTTTTCTCAAAATGTGACCCGAACCGCAAAGCATTTGGACTAACATCTTCTTCATGCAGGAGATCGAGGCTTTCAATGCACCCATGCAATGGAAGCCATATTCAGACGCAAGACGCTTGATGTTAACTTTAGTCTGCTAGGAAGAAACCTATGTTCCCTAGCAAATGCTGTGCTTGAAGCACCTTCAAGACCTCAAGAAGAAGATGATCCTATTGTGGTGAGCAAGAAAGAATCCATGTTGCCGACTTTACACCGCATCGTTCAACAATGCGCCAGAGAAAGGGCGGCCATGGAAGGGAAATCTTGCCATGCCATGACCATCAAGCTCGGGTTCGGAACAGACACTTTGACTTCCAACATGCTCATCAATTTGTACAGCAAGTGCGGCCTCAACGAGTGCTCCCGCAAGGTGTTTGATGAAATGCCTGAGAGATGCCTCGTTTCTTGGAACACCCTGATTGCCTCATATACCCGGAATCAGAACGGGGAAGGCGCTCTTAAGCTTTTTGTGGAGATGCAAAGGGAGAGGACACAATTTAGTGAATTTACGGTGTCTGGTGTTCTTTGCGCGTGTGCCACTAAACTTGCTGTGTTTGAATGTAAGCAGTTGCATGCTTTTGTGGTCAAGGTTTCCATGGAGTTGAATGTGTATGTGGGTACTGCATTGATGGATGTCTATGCCAAGAGCGGTTTGATTGAAGATGCTTCTCGGATTTTCAATTGCATGTCTGAAAGAAACGAGGTTACTTGGACTACAATGGTGACAGGTTTGGTACAAAACGAGCTCTTTGAGGAGGCTTTGTTGTTGTTTCACAGAGCTCAACAGTCTGGATTGGAGCATGACCAGTTCATTGTTTCTTCAGTTCTTTCTGCTTGCTCCACTTTGCCCGCTTTTATAGAAGGGAAGCAAGTGCACGCCATTGTATGGAAGATGGGGTTTGGTGCCAATGTGTTTGTGGCTTCTGCACTTATAGACTTGTATGCAAAATGTGGAAACATTCAAGATGCTTACTTTGTGTTTTCGAGTGCTGAGGTGAAGAATGTTGTGCTATGGAATGCAATGATCACAGGGCTTGCAAAACATGTAAGGCCCTTGGAGGCTATGATACTATTTGAGAAAATGCAGCAGATGGGATTGTCCCCAAATGACGCGACTTATGCTTCTGTACTATCGGCATGTGGCCACATGGGTTTGGTCGAAGAGGGGAAAAAGTATTTCGAAATGATGGCGAAAGAACATAGTTTGGTACCAAATATCCGTCATTTTTCATGCATGGTTGATGTGCTCGGTAGAGCAGGCCTGATTGACGAGGCTAAGGATTTAATAGAAACAATGCCATTTGAAGCTAATGCTTCCATTTGGGGATCAATTTTGGCATCATGCAAGGTCCATGGGAATGTTGAGGTGGCTGAAGTTGCTGCTAGACATCTGTTTGAGATTGAACCGAATAATGCTGGAAACTATGTTTTGCTGTCAGACATTTATGCTGCCAAGAAAAGATGGGGGGATGTTGCATCGACAAGGAAGCTTCTGAAAGACAGAGAGGTAAAGAAAGTGATAGGAAAGAGTTGGATTGAAATCAAAGACGAGGTTCACTCATTCATGGTTGGGGATAGGAGCCATCCAAGGATTGAGGAAATTTACTCGAGGCTGGAGGAATTGGTGGAGGAGATGGAGAAGCTAGGGTACAAAGGCGAGATAGAACATGAGCTGCATGATGTGGAAGAGAGCAGAAAGAAGCAACTGCTAAGACACCACAGTGAAAAGCTCGCATTTACGTTTGGGTTAATGTGCTTGCCTAGTGGGTTGCCAATAAGAATTATGAAGAACCTTAGAATATGTGGGGACTGCCATTCTTTTATGAAGTTTGCTTCTGAAATCTCTGGGAGAGTAATCATCGTTAGAGATTATAACCGGTTTCACCATTTTAAGGATGGATCATGCTCATGTGGAGAATTTTGGTGAAGTGGTGGCTTGCTCTTCATATGCATATGCAACTGACTCAGAATGTGAAGAACAAAGCTCACAGCCAATGGTATGGTTGGACAACTTACAACCAAAATTTGGGAGATTTCTACACTAAACCACCCTCAAAGAGGTATGGCAACATGTTAACTCAGATATATGTTCCATTTTAGACTGCAAGATTGAGAAATGTTTTCCATAGCCAACCAAGGTGAAATCATTTCAATTTTAACTCCTCGATCATGTATATACCAAATTATTTCCCCTGATATACTGTGACTTCGGTTAATATATGATCTCAACTTCCCAAAATATTACTACTAACAGGTGATTGAGAGTCACTAACTACTCCAAAATGACTGGATTTCCATAAACACAAGAATGTTTCAAGCCATCCCGGCCTGGGAAAGGATTCAGATTCAGATGGCCTGTTACTGTTAGGGGCATCTCTCTGAAACTGCAAGAAGAGGTGCATGAGAGTTAAGGTTGATTCATGAGCTTCAGTAGTAAATTCATGAATGAGATTTATCAATTATTTATTCAATTTTGAGATTGTACCCAGGTTGTGTTCAATTCTTCAGATTCTGAACAAGTGTCCTTTGTGAAATTATTATTTTTGATCCCTCTAACTGGAAAACTAGTTCAATTTTGACGAAAAGGAAGTCTGATGTTTAGCGAATTAAGGATTTATTATGATTTATGATAGTGCTTTAAATATAATTTCTTATATTACTATATTAGTATTTCACTCTGATTTATTGTCATTGGCTCTTCATATTTTTTTTAAGTACTATTGACTCTATTATAAAGTACTATCTATTATATACTTTCCCAAATTATTGCAACATAAAGAGTCAAGACTCCACCAAAGGAGTTCGATCCTGTGACCTTCCCTCAAAGGGAGCTACAGAGGTGTCATCTGAGCACAATGTGCTTGGCCATTGGCTCTTCATATTTAATTAATGAAAAGTTAAATGGTTAATGTGATTTAGATTTAGAGAGAGACTATTACTCATGTTACATGCATTAATCATTGGTTATAGAAATAAAATGAAAATTTTATATACACATACAAAAAAATGTAAAAATGATGGCACAACTTATCCTAAGGTCCAAATATGATCCTTCAAATTTTGTGTCCAACAAAGATAGTTATAGTTACGAGTCATTTAAGACAACCATAATTATCAAATACACTTAACTTAACAATGTACATTTGACACTTTTTACTTTGAATTGATTCGACCGATCACTTTAAAGTCCTAGTTTAATGTAATGATAGGGATCATTGGGAGATTATGAAGACCCTGATATGATCAAGGGTTTGACTTCGCGTTACGGGCATGTGGAGTACTGAAGAGGAGGAAGAGGAAGACTTATCTCTACCTATGGTGGCAAAAGAGAATTCTGAGAAATAAGGACAGAAAGTTGGAAGAAGAGAAATCTTCTTGAATGATCTTTATTCAAATTCCAACTTGTCTTTCAATCACATATTGTTGTCATATTTAAGGACTACCAACATAATTAACTAAGGAAGGAAAGATAATTACCAACTATAAAGAGATTCTAAATAATATTGATTGAGATTAAAAAAAAAAAGAAGTAAAGAGAATAAATCAGACTGCTTAAATCGAGGGCATTGCTGATCTGTGAGATTTGCGCCTTTTGCGGTAGTATTGTTGACCCACGAATGCATCATCACTCCCGTCTTGGAGATCAAGCTTGTCCTCAAGCTTGAATGATGGAAAGCGTTGGTAAAAATCATCTAAACTTTCCCAAGTAGCATCTTCTTCCAGCAAGCCTTCCGATTGCACTAATAAATCCGTATTCCCTCTATTTATACGAGTGCCAAGAATGGTGGCAGGACGCAGTTCAAAATGCCCCTTTACAGTGGGAGGCAACAGGCCAATTATAGGCCCATTATACTAATGTGAGAGTTTGTGAGTGCATCGCATGGTCAATGAGTTTTGGCAGTATGGCTGAAGACGAACCCATACTCATAGGATATATCTCGGTGTTTTCGGTGGGGTAGGTTTGCTCCATACGAGATTGCGGGATCCCTACCACGCAAGTGCGGTGGGGTAGGTTTGCTCCATACGAGATTGCGGGATCCCTCGCAAGTGCGAGAGGAGGATCCTGCCACCCATTTACGAAGATGGTCCCCAACAAACCCATTAGTTGAAACCAGAAGTACATTGTCCCCAACAAACCCACGTGCCCACGTGCGTCCACCCATTTACGAAGATAACCAGAAGTACATTGTCCCCAACAAACCCACGTGTGTCCACCCATTTACGAAGATGGTCCCCAACAAACCCATCACCGCTCGTATGAGAGGAGGATCCCTGCCTCCACCTTCCGCTCGTATGAGAGGAGGACCCCTACCATGCAAGTGCGTCCACCCAACAAACCCATCACCGCTTGTATGAGAGGAGGATCCCTGCCTCCACCTTTCGCTTGTATGAGAGGAGGACCACTACCACGCAAGTGCGTCCACCCATATACGACCCTGCCTCCACCTTCCGCTCGTATGAGAGGAGGACCCCTACCACGCAAGTGCGTCCACCCATTTACGAAGATGGTCCCCAAAAACCGCTACCACGCAAGTGCGTCCACCCATTTACGACCCTGCCTCCACCTTCCGCTCGTATGAGAGGAGGACCCTACCGCGTCCACCCATTTACGACCCTGCCTCCACCTTCCGCTCGTATGAGAGGAGGACCCCTACCGCGTCCACCCATTTACGACCCTGCCTCCACCTTCCGCTCGTATGAGAGGAGGACCCCTACCACGCAAGTGCGTCCACCCATTTACGAAGATGGTCCCCAACAAACCCATGAGCCGTGTCCACCCATTTACGACCCTGCCTCCACCTTCCGCTCGTATGAGAGGAGGACCCCTACCACGCAAGTGAGTCCACCCATTTACGAAGATGGTCCCCAACAAACCCATGAGGATCCCTGCCTCCACCTTCCGCTCGTATGAGAAGAGGACCCCTACCACGCAAGTGCGTCCACCCATTTACGAAGATGGTAGAAGATCCCTGCCTCCACCTTCCGCTCGTATGAGAGGAAGACCCCTACCACGCAAGTGCGTCCACCCATTTACGAAGATGGTCCCCAACAAACCCATCAATTGAAACCAGAAGTAAAGATTGGATCCCGACCAAAGATTGGATCCCGACCACTCACAATAGACATAAACAAAATAGAAAGTCTTACCGGGAATTGAACCCAAATTGCTGGATTCAAAGTCCAAAGTGCTAACCACTACACCATAAAACCACTTGTCTATTGTCTTGTTATTAACTAATAAATTACTTTCAAAAGGGAAATAGGATTATATGGTACGTGGATAGTGGTTGTTCAAGACACATGACTGGAGACAAATCTAACCTGAGCAACTTCAAAGAAATAAATGGTCCTAAAGTTGTTTTTGGAGGAGAAACCAGTCTTCTACTTGGGGGGACATTAATTTTTCAAAGGGGGTGTATTTATCAAAAGTTCCTGATTGATTAACAAAATCCCCAAATTACAAGAAACTAGACATTAATTCCTAAGAATAAAGTCATTCCACATTTGTTCTGCAATCACATCCCTCTTTGCATTCCACTGTCTAACTTTTTGTCTCTCTTCACTTTGGGTATGAGATAAGGGAAACAAGTTATCGTCATCAACATCAACTATTGCTTGATTAAATTCATCATTAGGATCAACTCCCATAATAGGCAGAAGTGTCAAATAGGCTCATCTACTACTGCGAAGTGCTCAATTCCCACCACGAACTCAATTAAAGTCTAATCAGCCATATTTACCAGCTAAATTTGTTCGATTGACTTTTTTTTTCAAATTACTAACAGGTTTCCTATTTAATTATTAAAAAATAAAATAAAAATAATTAAAAAAAAAATTTCCAGCCACTAAAGACTTGTTTTTTTATAAAAAAAAATGCGACCTTTTTAGAATTGGCTCAAAACTTGTGGAAGTCTTCTACCAGGATTGGAATGTCCACAGCTCAAATTTGGTACCAATCGGAGTTCATTTGATAGCATATTTAATACCCCAAAAACCTAAAGACTTGTTTTGTACGAAAAACGACGACCTTTTAAGAATTGGCTCAAAACTTATGGAAGTCTTCTACCAGGGTTGGAATGTCCACATGTTAAATTTGGTACCAATTGGAGTTCGTTTGATACCATATTTAACACACCGAAAACCTAAAAACTTGTTTTGTACAAAAAACCGGCGAGGACAGCCGGTGGCTGAAATTCTTTTTAATTTTTTTTTTAATTTTTTTAATTTTTTTAATTTTTAATAATTGAATAGGCAACCTGTTAGCAACCTGCAAAAAAAAAAAAAAAAACAAAAACAAAAAAAAAAAAAAAAAACAAATCAAACAAATTTAGCTGGTAAATGTGGCTGATTAGGCTATAATTGAGTTCGTGGTGGGAATTGAGCACTTCACAGTAGTAGATGGGCCTATTTGACACTTCTGCCCCCATAATATGATTATGAATTATACAACAAGCTAAAACTATATCCACTTGTGTCTGGTAATCGCAAAAAGGTTCAACATCTAACACACGGAACCGTTTCTTCAAAATTTCAAAAACTCTCTCAATAGATGTACGTAAGGACGAATGACGAAGATTGAAAAGTTCTTTCTTATTCTTGGAACGATGAGCACTAAACTCTTTCAAATGGTATCTAACACCACGGTATGGAGTAAGTATTCCATTCCGTATGCTATATATAGCATCGCCAAGATAATATTTCCCTACAAGTTTACACAATTTGATTACTTATATGCAATTCTTATACAGTATAATAAGGAACAACACCGTGTAAAAAGTGATAACTGTATTTATTTTATACCTTCTGCAATTTTAAATCTATTTGGACGCACCGTGTAAAAAGTGATGGACTAGTTGATGGGGTGTGAACCCCGTGGGCTCGGGGCCCAAGAAGAAAAGAGATCAAGCCCAAGAAGAAGAAGCAAAGCCCAAGAGGAAAATGGAGTAAGCCCAAAAGAGATACGGGCCAAGCCGAGGAGTCGGCGCGAGTGTGGGATCGGCAGGGGTAGAGGGTCGGCCTAAAACTAGCCGTTAGCCCCTATTAAATTCCTAATTATCTACCCTTAAAGTCCTATTTACTACCGCAACATTCCTAACCTCACACTTATTACCCCATCTTATTACCCCATTATTATTATTATCCATAACCCCCTAATTATCACCCATCACTACCCTACTAAATGTCCAACG